GCCCGCACCTCCCGCTCGCTCCTGCCGCGCCCGCCCGCGGCCACTCACCGAGCCCGGCGGCCAGCCCGGGCGGGGTCGCACGCAAACAAGGATGCTTCTATTTACTCGCCTCTGCCTGCGGATTTCTAAGACATTCAGCAGGCACAATCATTAAACTAATTTGTATTTGATTGTTTGGGCGGACGGAGGGTAGTTTTATTGCGCTAAGCATTCAAGCAGGCACGCATCGCTGATTACCAGTATACATTAAATAAAGTTGTTTGTACACATTGTCTTACCACATATAGGCAGAGGCTTATTATTCTAATTACTCTAATTAGTGCATTGAAATGTTTTCTACTTGATTTGAGGAGACAGTGATTAGTTCTATTACTTCTTTTAACTCGTATTTTATGGAAAACTGTTGGTGCATGTTCAAATTACTTTATTTGCCCCTGGAATATAACGCTGACCCGAACGCAGTGAACTACACGGCCCTTGCGGGGCCCCAACTTTGATGTGGGCCTCGGCTTCGAAGAGGCGTCTGCTCTTTTCTGTTTCCCTCCCACCGGCGTAGCCTTGTCTCCCCGCGCCGGGCCCGCCGCCCCCGCCCCGTCCCGCACCCCGGATGCGCGCCCCGCTCTGGCCGAGCGGACGTGGACCCAAAACCTACTCCGAGGCGGCCTCGCGGGCCTGATGCCCCGCTAGTTCTCCGGTGTGATTACTTCTAAAAGACTCCCTTAAGCATATTTTCCGTGAATCTGTTTCTCGAGCTTTAATGTTACTATTAATTGATAAGATCAGCTCATCAAACATACTATTTCGATAGGGAATTGTAATTAAAACCTTAATCCTGTTTGAGACTTTTTTTTCCTTTAAATTCCTTTTTCTTACGGAAGGGGTGCAAAGTTCACTATAAAAAGTATTATAACAGGGAGATTAATTCATTATCTAAATAACAATCTTCGCTATTGATCCGACGTACTTTCCGCCACCTTTTGTGTTGGTCCGGGAGGCCCTTAAAAAGGAGACTATGACAAAGCAGAAGATTTGGACGGAGCCTCGCAGACTCCGATCGACTTGGAAAGCGAGGGGTCCGTAGTTCTCCCCTCTTCGCTACAGTCCGAGGAGGCTTCCGAGGTGGGTCCCGGCCGGCCCTGGGGATGCCACCGGGGAAGCGAGTGCCAGAGCCGCGGCCCTACGAGCTGGGCCTCCTCCGCGGTCCTCTCCCCTCGCAAAAGATCTGCTCAGTCCTAGGTAAATATTCGACTGGGTCTGCTTCTACTTTAATATTTAAACTCGGATTATCCCGTCTCTAACTGCGCGCTCCTAACCTTTGCGGGTGGCTGGGACGTAATAAATCCTGGCGGGGCCGGGGCGCTCTTCCCGCCCGCCGGGCCCTGCCCCT